GTCGGCAATACACCTAATGAGTGTGTTATATAATTCGTCTTCATAACTTTGGACATATGTTTGCCACAGTATTGTTTAGACAATAAAAATTTATTTTTTGACTTCAACGTTAATAATATCTCATATTTTTATTAGGCCTGATATTTCTCCAGAAGAAGTAACGCGTCTTTTAAGATAAAATGTAGATTTTGAACTTGCATGTAGGGTAAACCAACCAGTGAAGGAACACTACCCAGTGAAGGAACATTTCATATATATTCATTAAAAATAAGAATTTGAAAGTTTTTCTTTAGATTGATTGGTAACAATAGCTTACTGCCAAACAATAGGAAGTCATCTAGCAATGTTTTGGATTACCTGGTCAAATAGACTTCTCTGGAAAAATTTTTGAATTTGTTATTATCTCTGCAACACCTTGTTTCTTTGAAAAAATTATAAGGTGAGTGTTTGTATTTATATGTTTGAAGTGGAATTAATTGCATGTAATAGTTTTATTTTTCTCACTGTGAAAAAGAGAATTCAAAATATAGTTATTGAAGTTACGTTTTATTTTTTTTAAGCATCATAGCATAATAAAGTACTGAGATAAGGGGGTGTTTATTCACTGGATCACCAAACGATGAAAAACCAGTGAAGGAACAAGTGTTCCTTTACTGGTTTTTTTTCTAAGTTAATGAAAATAAAAGATAAACTTTAATTTTCTTGTACCTTTAGTGATGTTCCGCATCAAAAGTATGTTAAAAATACGAAAAACAACTTCTAACCAGTGAGGGAACAGGCATGTTCCTTTACTGGGCATAGATTTCCCAGTGAATGAACAGTATGTGTTAATATGTTGACACTTTAATTTTCAATTCATGATTACAAAAAAAAGTTAACATTTTCCAAGTATTTATATGTTATAATTTCAAGAATAGGCTTGTTTTTAAATATTTGTATGGCTTATAAATTCATGAAGAGCATTAAAAAATAACCAAAATGAAGTGTTCCTTTACTGGGTGTTCATTCACTGGTAAGAGCTGTTCCTTCACTTGGTCTTCTTACTACTTGTTATTTGAACCTCTAAAACTTTAAAACAATATTATGAAAGTCCTCTAAAATTTTTTTTACATGATTTGCAATTAGTAACAAATATGTTGACATTGTCATTTAAGTAAAATTACGAATTTTGAAATTAATATGATTTTTTAAAAGGCAAGCGAAGCTTAAGTGTTCCTTCACTGGTTAGTTTACCCTATTTAGTTTATTCCAGTAAAATTATTGTTTATACAATATAGATATGTTAGGATTGATAATTATAACACTCATGTCCTTAAAAAATGACGTTTGGAGATTCATCTGATTATTTATTCAATAATGAGTGGTTTGGGAGAATAAATATAATCTGTAAATTGTGTGTAATTTTTGTACATTATGCATTTGTAGACGTTACGCTCTGGGAAAAAAGTTATGGTTCAAACTACCAGAATAAGGCAAATTTTATAGTGTTTCTGGTTTTATGTTAAATCTAAAAAACCGAAATGCTTTTATGATTTTGGTATAATTTACAGTAGCATACGGTTTTATAATGAGATAGAAATGAAAATTGTGGTAAAATTGAGAAATGTTGTAAAATTTAGTAATTTTACATGGTGCTTTCAAACAGGGTATAATAACCATTAATTCGGTAAATTTTTTTTCAGTTTTATAATTTTTACTATATGTGTGGTACTAAGAGCTATAATTTTGAAATACAGAATAATCGGTAAACTGTTACCATATGAAAGGAAAATTATCAAATGAGCTAAATATCAAATAAAAATTTAAATATCGTTTATTTTGGTTTTATTAACCAAAATTATGTTTCTCCCCTTTTTTTCTTTCTTTTTTACAAGAAATGTGATTACCGTACAGTGTAGTAATTTTTTTAGAATTTCTTTCTCCACCAGTTCTAACAGCGGGAATAATCTACTGTAAATTTTGAAAAATTCATTTAAAATGATAAACAATTAATAAGGTTTTAAAGTATTTCAAAGAAAAACGCCTTCAATGGAAACGCGAAAAAAAAAAACGCAGAATTTATTTATAAATTTACTTTTTTCAGTTGGAGTTTAAAACATTGCAATCACTCCAAAAAATCATTTGTCTTATAATTGAAACGTTGAATGAAGGAATGTGTTAAGCAACATTCTAAAAACATTGAAATGGCTGGTTTTAAGAACATGTAAAGGACTGTAATATGTATAATACTTTACCTGAAATTCATTTTACGAACTTTACTAAAGTGTCATTGAATATGTGACTCAGAGACAAGGCGTGATTATAAAAATAAAAATACTGCTTATTTGTCGATTGAATTTTAGGAATAATAACCAATTATTGGTAACTGACAATCAAATTCACTCTACATTAATCTGATTTCAAATTGATTTAAATTCACCACAGTTCTAATTGTTTTTCATAACTATGCTTTAGATTTTGATCATTTTTCTTTAATTTAAGACTAAGTATTTATTTGAGACTTTAATGTATAGGTTTTGATAACTTCTTTTTTTATATGCATATAAGACTTCCAACTATTACGTATTGTTTCCCGATCCTGCATAACTCCAGCTTAATATTTTAACAACATACGACAGTAATAATAAATAATTTCCCAAAAATATTTAGCCAGTGAGGCAAGTCAATATTCACACATCAAAATATAATCATAAAAATGTATTTTGAAGTATGCTATTGAAGTACTATTATTTTGAAAATAATTTCCATCATTTTTCAAAATAATTTTCTAACTTTCAATGCTTTGAAATTTTGATTTGTTTCGGCAATTAGGCAACTAATCACTTACATTCAAGCAGCGCCATATATCACCAACGCAAATTTTTTTTTGTCTAATTCTCTTTATTTCGAAATTTTGATATTGGAAGTTTTTAAGACAGACTACAGATGTCATGGTAGCATTTCTAATAATATCCATTGCAACAAAAATGATTTTGTTACCAGTTTGTTTTTCTCGTAACTTTTGTTTTAAGTTTTTTTGCTTTGTTTTTTTTTGTTTTAAGAATCAATATCTTACAAAAATGAAATTCTTGTCAGAGCTTCAACTAGCAAGAGTTATATTGGATATTAATCTATGAATTGCGGAGAGCTTTTTAGTAAATGCTAAGCACATTTTTCTAAAAATATAAAAATGATATTTAAAAATTTTGGAAAAAAAGAAAGAAATTTGATGCATCACTCTATAAATATTGAGAAAAAAGCTAATCACAAAGTTTAAATTATTTTACTCCCTCGGCAAATAAATCACGAGTTAAGAAAGAGTTAAGAATGATTAAGAAAGCTAATAAATCAAGGCAAAAACTTTCATAAGAATGTAAGGGTTTTTTAGAAATAAAATGATATGCGGATAGTTAATTTATTACTTACAGTAAGTAAGCTACAAATTTATTTAGAAGCCCAAAAATGTTATTTAATAGCAGAAGTATATTTTTCTCTTTATTGGAAAAACTTGCTACTTTTTTGAGGGGATATATTTTATTGAGGGCAATTTTTTTCATTAATAGCAAATGATGTTCTTAAAAAGATGCAAATCAGAAAGAAAACATCTTTTTTTTTATATTTTTAATGTGCATCAACGTTTCAGTCATTTCTCGTCTTTTCCTTTTATTTGTAATAGAGATATTAGTTCAGAAATTTTATTAGTAATTTTATTCTTAACAGGGTAATGCTAACATTAAATACTCTACACTAAAGAAATTTTCAGATCTGATTTTTTAGATGTTCCGTTTGGTTTCAATAATTTTGTGCTGTAAAGAATTAAACAGTTCACAGTTTTACATTCCTTAAAATTAGAAAAAAATTGATGAAGATGTAAGAAAACTATCGTCATGAACAGTATTTATATTGAACAACAGCGAATAACTAATTTTTTTATCAAACTTTTTAAGGAATTAATTGAAATAATCTAATTTTTATTTTACTTTCTTACAAAATGATATAAAAAAAAACTATGCATAAATAATATTACCCTTTTTGAACTGCAAAGCTTTAAAGTGTGACATTTCTTTTATTTATTTATTTTTTTCTTAATTGACATAAAGTACATAATTTTTTAAAAGCATTTGTTTAGCATTAAATTTGCTCATTGCGTATTTAACTACAATTTACTTTTAAAGACATAGTTCAATGATTTTTTATTTCAAGTGATTTTCTAAAAATTGATGCAGTTTGATTTTAGAATTGATATAGATTTTGATGTTAAATAACCAGGTTAAATCCAAGCATAATTTTTCATTAGATAAAATAAAGTAAATCTCGTAGTTAAATTGATCCTTTTACTCTCATTTATCAATGACCTATAATAATTTTGTGGAATAAAATAGAGCATGGCAATAAAATTAATGCTGATTTCGAAATCATTAAATATATATATATAGATTCGTTCAGATTTTTATGAGTTTATACACACCTTTATGATTTAAATTTCGTAAATTATGAATAATCATCTCTCTAATGTGTATCTTCGGTGTCTCCTTTAAAACTTAGACTACGAAGTTATCTAGAGAAATATAGTTTTCATTTGATCCTCGTTTATTTTTAAATTTATAGTTGTGTTGAGTAAGTTGGCTAAATTGTACTATTAGGAAAGTTATCTGGAAGCAAAGTTCGCTCCAGTACTTAAAAATCCCATAAGTTTATCAAAAGATCTTCAGGAAATTTTAGCTTTGTACCCTGGTTTTATCACTAAATTTAAAAATATTTATAAGAAAAAATAAAATATTTTAGAAACACAAAAAAACTCCGCTTTTCTTCACAAAAAATTTAGACTGTTTTTTTTAAATAAAAAAAATATTGAAAATTATGAGTGTGACAAAAAAGTTTAGAAATGGAATTGTCATTAAAAAATTGAAAAGAAAGATCAATAAAAAGGCATTGAAAATAAAGACTTAATCGAATAAATATTTAAAACATATGCTTAATAAATTAAAATTTAAAAATTGAGATCAAAGTTAAGTACTTACGTCATGAAAGCATCAGGGTTATACTGACAGTTAAAAGTGATGTTTTCCCCAGCTACTACTTTAGTTTCACAAAATTCCGTATGAGAGTCATAATACCAGTAGAGCTGGTTAAGGCCACAAGCGAATGATGTCAGCACTAAGAAAAATATGAACAGAAATTTGGCGATATCAATAATCATACATCCCAAAGATATCTGTAGGGGTCCAAGATGTGGATTAGTCTGAAATAAGTAAATAATCCTAGCAAAACTAAAGACATTGGCTACAGCAAATACTCCTTCTGCTATAAGTGAAGGATCATTGCCTGGCCACAAAGCGCGCTGCAGAACTCTCGGTCCGTAACGTCCACTTTGGACCTGAATGTAAGCTATACCTTTCAAAGAAAAAGTTGTTAAATAAAGGCTAAGCATGATAAAGTCCAACCAATTCCACCATTGACGAACATATGCTTTTAATCCTTCTTCCCAAAGTTGCTTGCATTCCGCCCAAACCATACCTGAAACAAATCATACATTTCAATAAAATATTTATAAAGCATTATCAAGGATCCAATTACATCAATCATCAATGATTATTTTTATTAAGGACCTTTTTATATAACTTAGTTAGAGTTTTAGAGGTAAAATTACCACTAGGCTTAATTAGTATCGCTCATTTCTTAAAAATATGCTTACATTAAACGGGAAGCAAAAATTGCACTGATAATATTCAGAATACATAAAATGAACCAGGATTTTAGAATAGATATTTAAAAAAAGGGAAGAGATATCAATGTACGATTAGCTGCTTTATGGTTAAGAAATAAATAATTTTTTCTAAAAACATTTATTGTTAGTTACAAAGCTCAACGGTTAATGCTGCTAACTGAGGACTATAAAATTATACGGCAATGTTGTGTAGAAAACAACATTTGTTGAAAAGAAGACAGTTCGTGGACAAATTACATACGCTCGTACAAACATTTCAGACCGAATAATCTGGCCTGCAGCCTAGAATATTGTTTTACAGTCTTTACATCGAGCAACGGCTTCAGTCCACAGTTTTAGCAGCTAATTTTGAAACCTGCTGAGAATAAATCTGCTTTGCTAGTCAGAACACAGCCGCTTGATTTCTATTTCTTTGTCTCTTCTCGTTCTTTTAATATATTGATTTAATGACTGATTAATGATTGATTTAAAACTGATTTTTCAAAACAATCATTAAGTTAATCTGCCTTCTCTCCAATATATGTTGTTAAATCGTTTGAAGGAAACCAGAAAATTGGATATTTGCGAGTAAAGTCGTCGTAGATAAATCGGGACATATTTCGATTCAGAAGATAATCAAGTTCGACCCACACATGTGACGTCACCTACAGGCATTCAATTAAATCTGATTTATATCACATGGTTAAGCGTAATCACTGCACTTCTTGAGTTAAAAATACCCAATTACAGCTAAATTTTTGTGTTAACTGCGTATCATATCTTAAGCATTTAAGTAGAATTAAATTTATGCCATTTTGAGTGAGTTATTTTAAGTTTTTTTTTCTCAATAGTTAAATTAAATATTTTAATTTTTTAAGTGCAAATTATTTGATAATTTTATTTCAGTTTATTTATTTATTTTATTGAATAGCATAAATAGATTTTCAAATTCGAGGAATTAATTAATTAAAATCTTCTTCATATTTCATTCAAACTAAACTGCAACACTTATGCAAAATAAGCTTAAAATGTCAGACTTTTCATGACAAATTAGACAGATTATATTCCATTGGAACTATGGAAAGACGACTTGAAGTTTTAATTTCCAATTGATATTCTCCTGCAAACTGCATTCCATTGTATTTTCTCGTTGAACGAAGAAGTCCATCAATCATGTTACGTGCTCTAACATCCTGCATCATTATCTCAGTTTCTAGTCCAAATACATACATGGAATTTACCTCTAAATCTTCCCTAAATCGATTCTGTCTGGACAAATTCATCTTTTAGATATAAAGCAGTCTAAACTTTGCTTGAGAAAACAGTAAATGAAATAGACTTAGGAATTTTGGTTTTCGTGATTATTAAATGCATTATTACTTGAGGTTTTGAAAATTCCTTAAGTGATATTTCTTGTAACAGTACCTTAGAACATATATAAAGAAGTAATCAGAAAAATTATGGTCCAACGTGGTTAAAAAATTACAGTGATATCTAACTTAAATATATAAGATTACTATAAAAGTGTTTCTAAAAATGGTTTTTTTTTTGGAAGAAAAATTACTGCCAAGAAAAGAAGCGCAAATCACAATTTATTTCTCTTCATTTGCTTAATTTTCTAGTTAGAAATATGTATATGTAATAAAATATACAACATTTCTTTTATAAATTTATATTATATCACAATATTTAATTTTAGTAGTTTTAAATTATTATTAAGCAAGCTGTTTTTAAGAAAAGTCGCTAGCACATAAAAACATGCTTTTAAGCTCTTTTTTATATTCTTATGGCAGATGCCGATAGTCAGGACTTCGATAAACCAAAATATTTTTTAATCGAGATATTAAATTAACCGGAATACTCATTTAACCGAAATGACCAATCTTTTTAGTTACCTAGTGTCCTAGTAGTAGGGGCTCAAGGCGAAAAATTGACAACATGAGAATCAGTGAACGAGAAGAATTGCCAGTTTTAAGCTTGGAACAACCATGAATAGAAATTTCTTTAAAAAAATAGCCATAGCCATTTTTAAAAGCTGTTTAATTATTCGGATTCTTTTTTCGCCGATGGGCCTCAGTTCCGACTATTCCAGATAATTGGTTCTCTGTGAATTCTTTAAATATTGTGGAGGTCAGGGCAATTTCAATTCAAATGTTAAAGTGTATAATTTTGTTATAACTTGTAATGTTTGGTAAAGCTATCATCTAAAAGCCGCATTCGTGAATTCGTATTTATTTGGAATAATCTCAAGTGTTTTTTTTTCCACTTGTGGTGTCAGGAGAGTGATTTAGCTAATAAAGAATTTTGACATAAATTTTCAATTATATCTATTTCTTGTTTTACTTTATTTTCATTTCTTCGCAAGCAGTGTGGCAAAAAAAATGGTCAACCCTGAATAACTTTTGATCTAATGATCGGATCTTCACGTTCTAGGATTCAATCTTAATGGCTTAAGAAGGTGACCTGAAATATGTTAATTAATTAGCGCAGACGATATTTGAAGTTACAAAATCAGTCACTAAAACGTATATTCGCTGAATAAACATACTTTTTTTCGATGAATTTAGATTTCTGACCCCCAAAATATAGAGGGTAGCCGCAATCAGGGAAATATGGTCCCAATAGTTTGGTCAGGAGAGCCTTGCAAAGTTTGGACCCCTTAATGTTAATCATTCTTTTTGCGCATTTCGCTTTATATCGGGAACTTTTTAAGCGATTTGAAAATTTTTTTGCACACAGTTATAAAATTCGTTTATCTAAAGATAATTTCATGAAAATTTTTTTTTAGTAAATATTTATTATTTTTTATTATTATGTTTAACTATTGTCGAAGAATAATTTTAAGCAAGTATTTATTATTTTTATAATAATAAAAATACAGTAATATAATAATATAATGAAATATAATAATAATAATAAAATAATTTTAAGTAAGTATTTATTATTTTTATTATTTTATTAATAAATGGTCGAAACATTTTTTAATTGTAAGGTATACATTTTCATGCCATTTTAAAGCATGTAATTTTACTTCACAAAGTACAAAATTTGAGCGAAATCGGTTCAATAGTTCCTGAGAAATCGAATTTCAGACTTTTTTGAAATTCAGTTTCTCAGGAACTATTTAACCGACTTTGCTCAAATTTTGTACTTTGCCATTTAAAATCGTATTCTTTAAATTGATGAAAAATTGCAAACCTTACATATCGAAATTTTTTTCGACAATTATTAAATAGAAAAATAAAAAATGAAAAATACTTACAAAAAAATTATTTTTTTCATGGACTTATATTTGGCTAAACGGATTTTATAGTAGTAGTAGTAGTATTTAATTTACGTCGTACTAGAGCTGCACAATAGGCTATTGGCGATGGTCTGGGAAACATCCCTAAGGATGATCCGAAGAAAAGCCATCACAATTTTGATCCTCTGCAGAGGGGGTGACACCCCTCTGCTTCGGTAGCCCAACGACCTGCACGCGAAGTCGAGAACTTTACGGTTTTAACAGTTTAACGAGAACCAATACCGCTCACCCTCGGTCCCTACGCAGGCTGATCCAAGTGGTCACCCACCCGCACACTGACCGCAGACAGTGATGCTTGACTTCGGTGATCTGCTGGGAACCGTGTCTTAACGATCAGTCCACTGCGGGAAAACGAATTTTATAGCGCAAAAATTTTTTTAATTCGCTTAAAAAGTTCTCAAAATATAGCAAGACATGCAAATGCGTTTTTCTTTTGGTGTACTGTATATTTTTTTAAAAAATAACATATTTTTTTATTAGCATTTTTTTTTAAAAATGAATTTTTTACCGAATATTTCAAAATAATTGAATAATTGATAAAATGATTCATATTAAGTGTCACGATTAAGAATGTTTTATGGCATATTTTAGAGATAACCTTCAAAGAAAGATTAATCAATTGTAAATTTATTTTAATAATTTTACTGTTCTACACAGATAAACTCATTATAGAGTATTGAACAGTAATTTAATACAACCTTAATAAGAATATAAGTTGTAACATTCTATATACTTCCAATCTGAAACATATATTAAGTTGAATCATACTACCTGATAATATGATTCACTTCGCGCAGAAAGTTTACACTTTAGTAAAGTTGCGATTAACAACATAAGTCAACATTAATCCTATTTTTATGAAACTGTGATTTACACCAATGTTTGTAGGGCAGTGGCTCAGGGGATACAGCGTTCGTTGTCTAATGAGGTGAACCAGGTTCGAATCCCAGCGATGGCTGGACGATACGAATCCACTTCCGGCTTGCACCGACCACATTGCTGTCGCGAAATATTCTCAGTGGTAGACGGATCATGGGTTAGAGTCCCCTTGCCGTCAGGCTAACCGAGGGAGGTTCTCGTGATCTTCCTCTCCATGTAACTGATATGCTGGTTAGTTCCATCAAAAAGTCTTCCACGAAGGCAAATTTCTCCCAATACTTGATCCAGGAGTTCCCTTGTCTTCTGGATTGGGTTTAAAATTACGAGGCTACAGAGTTGAGCATTAGTAGTCGTAAACGCAAACAATTGGGTCGGCTGTTCAACGACGGTTAGAAAATAAAAAATAAAATGCTTTCAGAGCAGTGGCTCACTGGTTAGCGTTCAACTTCTAATGAGGTGAACCGGGTTCAAATTCCCAGCGATGGCTAGACGATACGAATTCCACACACAGCTTGCACCGCCCGCAGTGCTGGCGTAAGGTATCCTCAGTGGTAAACGCTTCATGAATTAGAGTCCTCTTGCCGTCAGGTTAACCGTGAGATGGTTTCGTGTTCTTCCTCTTCATGT